TAGATAGATAGATAGATAGATAGATAGATCGATCGATCGATCGATAGATAGATAGATATAGATAGATATAGATATAGATATAGATATATATTGGTTAATTATATATTAATATATATATTCTACTTAAAAATTGCCAAGATCTCTTTCCATTCAATAAGCCAATAAGCCCAGGCCAGGGTGTTAAAATATATGATATTATGGATATTCAAAAATACATGCAAAAAGATTTTCTGACTATGTATATGATACCCTATGTATTTTTTAAACGTTGTGGATTCCCTTCTCAAAATATCTTTTATCTTGATAATGACCTTAGAAAAAGAATGCCATTTTGAGACGAACTATTTCCTTTAGTGGTTTCAGATACTCTGCTTCATAGAAAGTGTAACAGGGTTAATTGTCTGATGTGTATTAAGAAGCATTGGTGTAAAAAACCCTTCAATACCAATTCAGATAAGGACAAAAGGCAGATTTGTTTATGTGATCATTAAGACAAATGAAACAGAAAGTCACTGTTATTAATTATACAGGGGAAACAAATTAGAGATAGTTACATTCAAAAAGATTCCCTTCAATGAAGGGGTTATTGAAAATAAAATAAAATGTTATTCATATTTCCCTGACATTGTGATATCAAGAATAGTTTTTTTTTAGATCTTTGAAATGGAAAAATCAAATGGTTTTTATGTTGTTATATTTCTTTCTGTAAGTGCCCAAGGGTATAAATGGCAGTAATTGTGAGACATTCTGGGCATTCAAATATCCAGACAATCAATGCTCATTTTAGCAAGCACATTAAGTTTGTTTCAGGGTCTCTACCAGTGGCAGGTGAGCAAGATCACAGGTGGCAGATCTTCCCAGTAGATTTCAAAGGCACTCTTGAAAGTAAAGCACAAGTCCATATTTCAAATGTACCAGCATCTTCCTCATAGGTGTATGAGAGAGATATCTACAAACTACCAATCCTCCTGTAAACAAGGAGATTCTAAACTTAAAGAATTTTTCCAGCATGTTGATTTGTGAGTTTGATTTTGATGTAATTCATCATCTGTTCAAAATTATACTCTGCTACTGAAGTGCATAGCCTACCTGTGGGTTTTGGATTTTGGTATTCATTTTTTATACTAAACCATTTTTTTGTCACCTACCCCCAAATAACTTTACAGTTATATAGAGAAAACAATCCATGGCAAAAGGCAGTGTAAATAGATCTAAAAGTGGAATACGCATGAGATGTTAGTTTCTATTGCTAAAAACCATTATTTTAGCTGGGGTTCAGGTTTTAAGACACAGTCTCACTATGTAGCTCTGGTTGCCTTAGAATTTGCTGTGTTTGCCTATAACTTGTGAATCTCCCAAAATGCTGCAATGGCAAGTTAAACTTACTATTCACGATTTTATCTATTATGTGTAGTTTCTGTAGCCATAAAAGTGTATATATGGATAAATGTCACTCATTTTACATAATAGTTATTAAGAATTACTTTTATCTTCAATCATCCTGCAAGAACAGTTAGGAGGCATTAGCCCCCCTTTCACTATTACATGTTAATTTTCCTGTAGCAGTCTGTACCGTTCCTTATCATGTTCAGTCTTGTGCTTCTTGTAAGTAATAGATGTTGCAAAGTGAGTCAGTTTGCCTTTGTTTTCAATATGCTGTCAATATTACCTATCCCATCTATAGCAATTCACTAGTATCCCATTAAATTTCACCTATATTTTGTGTTTCAATTTAATTGCACAAACTCTGTGGCACTTCATGCATTCTTTGAGTGGGTTTTTACTTATGTTCTATTACACATATAACATACAAAGGAGAGATATAAGATGTGGGTCATCATTGAGATATAATATAACTTGCAGTTTTCTTGATTTTTCCCCTTCTCTAAGTATTTTTTTTGCAAAATAATTTTTCCACACAAATGAGATCAGAGGAAGATTTAGAAGCAGCACTGAAATTTTTCATCTTCATTTTTTCCTTTGGTGTTCTTAGAGTTAATTGTCATGTAATTTAATTTATCAAATTAAGGTTACTGAGAAAATGCTGATTTAGTATCTACTTAGTTTCTAGCAAAGAATGCTACATAATAGCAGTATAAGCTAGAAGATACATATTTTTAAGCCAAAGCCATACATTTTCTAAATACTAGAATGATAGTCTATTTTGAGGTGTATTACCTTGGGAGGTGTAGTCACCTCTTAAGGGAAGAGCAACTAGAAGAGAGCTGTGATTTAAAAAAAAACCTGATAATTAATACACTTGAGCAGATTAATCAGATCAAATTATTGTAGCTCCATTCTAGAAGCCAAAGATCTCCTTTGATCATCACTAAACCCTCAGAGAAAGCCATATTAATTATCCATTAGGGACTGAATGGCTAGCTAATGGGGACCATAGCTGAGAAGATGTTTTGTCTCACCACTCATCTCCTCCTTCCTTTGTATACATGTAAGGCTTGTTTATATTTCATGCCCCTAATGAGATTACACCCATCATGAGAACATCTGTGGCAGTTGACTCATTGATTTTTTTGTAATCCACAGGTTTGAGTGTGAGTGAGACTTGTAAAGAACAGGTTTTGAATTTTGTGGACAGTTACAGAATTGTGCTGTAATCTACATTTGACTTGAAAAAAAATCAAAGCCAACACTGATTAACATGATGAGCAAATAAGACCTTACAGAACTGAAATCATATGCTCTTAATCTTGTAAGATCATATTGAATTAATTGGTATTTTCCCCTCAAATGATCCTTCAGTCTAAGTTGTATTTTATTTTAGAGGTCAAAGGGAATTTAGAGCCAGTAAGCTGACAATGGTGTACACACATAAACACATTTTTGTATGTGTGTGCATGCACACACACACACACACACACACACACACAGAGAGAGAGAGAGAGAGAGAGAGAGAGAGAGAGAGAGAGAAATAATTACTTTTTAAGGAAAGTATTTATGAATTGGTATCTTCAATTATTTGAATGCTTAAAAATTCCCACAGCCTAGAAATCTACTTCTTAAAGTGTTAATATCTTGACATGTGAAAGTATTTGCTTATTTTTAATTATGGGGGTTTTTACTTGTGAGTGGGCTGCTTGAGAGACAAGAGTCAAAGAATACCCTTAGAGTTGAGTTACAGGTGTATTTGAGACATTCAACATGAGTTTAAGTCACTACAAAGTAATTGGTGGCTTTTTCTATAATCCTATCATATATATGAAAAAGCATGCTTATTTATTTCTTTCTTTAAAATTAAAAAAATCAGAAACACTATTGCTGAGATTTCATCATACTTTTTTTTTCTTTTTTATGGATTTCAGATTTCCCTGTAACTTCCTAGACCACAGGACTGCAAAGCAATCAAGAATACTATGTTCAAACTAAGGATGCATTTCTTCTTGCTTATAAGGGTTTTATTAGCCTAAGCCTCAACACCTCCACAGGCTTCAGTGTGGATGAATAAGACACGAAGTGGGTGAATTTAATGAGAAAGGAAATGGATTTTTGTGAACTTCCAATAGAAAAAATATATATTTATCTACCCCTGATAATCTTGCAAAAGCCAAATTCAACACCATTTTCTTTAGATTTTTATGCACGGACCTTGACATTGAAAACATCTACTGAATATTTCCTATTAAAATAAAATAATATAAACTAATTGATGTTGTTTGAACTTTAAGAAGTAGATACATGTTCAGAAAGATCTATATAATTACCAAAAATATACAATTGTAATTAAGCATCCTTTTATGGGAAATTTTTGTGGTTCCTTTAAAGGAAATTAATCATTTAAATCTTATGGTATATAAACAGCAGAACTACTGGGCTTTAATTTAAACCTAAGATGAAAAAAATTTTAAATCTTTGACTATAAAAATTTCCTCCTATTTTACATGTGTTTATTATGTTTTTGAAGTAACTTATCCTCTCTAAAATATTACATAGGTTTCTATACAAGGTTTCAACATTTGAGCCTACTCTCAAGTAGATAGTTCAATCATTGGTGTTTGCAAATACCAGGTGCAAAACTTTCCCAAGGAATAACATCTGGACATACTATTGTCTCGTGCAATTTAGAATGTAATAGACATTTTTTTCATCTAGTCGACGCTCCATTTATTTATTGTGAGGCAACAGAGAATAATTTTTGTCTTGCTTAGTGAACATAGTCTTCATTAATGAAAAGCCAAAAAAAAAACAACTTGCAAATGTCAAAATAAATAACATGTTTTACATTGTCTTCTTCTACTGGGTCATAAAAATACTAATTAGGGACAAAGGAACTCTTTATCACAAAGTCAGAAAGCAGCTTATAAAATAGAAGAAGTGTATTTGCCCTTACTTTGTTCCAGAAACTGTGAAATAGCCAAATCTTAACTTGAAGATAATGGGAAGGGTTATAAATTGCATCTTCCGGGAGCATTTCGTTCAGTGTCATCCAAGACTCTCCACACAACAGCCTTTCTTGTTTGCTCCTCATCCCATGAAACAAATAAGTGACCAAGTCTAAGATATCAAAGCTGTATATATAGTGCATATCATAAAATGATGATGAATATTAAAATTCATGAATATGAAAAATAACATTAGGAACAAGATTAAAATTCTTTTTTCTAAAAATAGTACTTAGCTACATTAATAAGCCTCCAATGACAGTTTCTGCAAATAAAGATCTATTTGTTCACTGAAACAACGGTGTGATAATTATGAGCATGTTTGTCCAGGGCAGATCAGCATTCTAGACAGCACCATCTCTTTGAACTAGCTTAGCAGTCCATAAGGATCTTATTATGAGTCATTAAAATATTGGCTAATAGAGACAAACAGAGTTAATCTAACATACAAATACTTTTTTGCCGTTATTTACATAAGATAAAGTTAAGGTAAAACAAAGCTTGGAAGAAAAAAAATCAATTAAGAGCCACTCCACTTCCAAATGAGGAAAGCAATTGTCTGTATCAGAAAGAAATCTTTAAGATAAAAACAGATGAACTTACAAATTATGCCAGTATCGTGTTTAGTCACAGTAGGACAGAAGAGAAGAAGCTCTCAGAACTCTTTCTGGGCACATTTCCTGAAAAAGAAAATTCAAATAAATGTGAAACTAACTATCAAGAACAGAAAAAGACTTGGTTTATACAATGGAAGACCAAAATTTACAATTTAAATTGTAAATATATTCACAATTTAATCATGCATGTGTTCACTGCTGCTTCTAAACTAGTAGTTGATCTACCTGTTCATAAAGCAACTGTCATACCTATGCATGTATAAGTGTAAGTATAGATTTGTAACTATAAAAATTTATTTTTTACTTTATTGAAGTTCCCATTATCCATTCATTTAGAATATTATAAGTATATTGGTTAGTTGTTATTTGAGTTAACAATACTTTCAGTATAACATACAAATGACATAATTATCAGCTATTAATAATCAAAGGTAAATATTAATACACTCCTAAATCAAATACATAAATATTCATTTCTTATATCACAGTGGTTACCAGTTTTAGTGTGAAAATTTGATCCATACCAGAATTAAATATTTAATGAACAATTTCCGTTCTGTTTACTTAATACAATGGATTTTATATTCCATCTGTATTTTACACTGATTAAAAATTCAACTGTTCACTCATAAGAGGATACTGTACATAAAGCAAAACATACCCAGGCTGCAATCCACAACCCCAGAGAAGCTAGAACCCTCTTCCAGAAGCAGATGGAAGCAGAATCAAAAATCCAAAACTAATCATTGGGCAGAGTTCCTGGAGTACAATCTAAGAAAGGGATGAGTGATAATATGAACAAAGGAGTCAGAATCAGCTGACCCCAGCTAGTGAGAAATCACTGACTCCAGTATGAGAACCAGGGAACCTGCATAAGACTGAGCTACTTCTACTTCCATTAGTTGCTGGATGAAGGCTCTAGGATGGCACATAAGGTCATCAATATCATTATCAGAGGAGGGCATTTAAGGCAGAAGCAGACACCCACAGCTAAACCCTAAGCTGAACTCTGGAATCCAGTTGCAGAGAGGGAGGAGTGATGAGCAAAGGGGTCAAGACCAGGCTGGTGAAACCCACAGAATCAGCTGACCAGAACAAGGGGGAGCTCATGGACTCCAGACTGATAGCTGGGAAACCAGCATAGGACTGATCCAGAACTCATGAACGTGGGTGTCAGTGAGGAGACCTCAGAAATCTATGGGGCCTCTGGTAGTAGATCAGTACTTACCCCTAGCATACGGATGGACTTTGGGAGCGCATTCCACACAGAGGGATACTCTCTCAGCCTAGACACACAGGGGAGGGTCTACGCCCCATTCCAAAGGATATGACAGACTCTGAAGATCCCCATGGAAGGCCTCACCCTCCCGGGGGCGCAGAAATGGTATGGGATAGGTAGGTTGTTAGTGGGGGGCAGGGGAGGAGAGGAGGGAGAATGAACTTGGAGTGACATATAAAACAATCTTTGTTCTAATTTAAAAAAAAAAAAAAAAAAGACCAAACTAGACTCCCTGAATACATGTGACAATGGTATGGCTGGGACAACATATAAGGCCACTGGCAGTGAGTCCAAGATCTAACTCTAATGTACAAACAGACTTAGTGGAGCCCATTCTATATGGAGAAATAACTTACTGAGCCTAGACACAGGGGTGTGGGGGTGGAGAGGTGCCTTGGTCCTGCCTCTATGAGATGATGGGACAGACTGAGTAGAATTATGAGGGAGGTCTTACCCCCTCCGAGGAGCAGATGAGAGGTTGGGGGGAGGGGACTAGAGGGAGCAAGAGAAGAGGAGGGAGGAGGAACTGGGATTGGAATGTAAAAAATAAATTAATAAAAAATAATGAAAAATCAACCAATACTTGAGAATAGAAATGAGGTAATTACAAGCATTGATAAACATGAAGGAGATGAGCTGTATACTGATCACAACATCAGGGTTTTTAAAATGGAACCTAACTTTATGTCAGATATGGTAGCAAATACTTGTGATCAATACACTTGGGATGCCTAAAGAAGGATCACTGTGAGTTCCGGGCAAGCCTGGGCTACAGAGTTAGATACTGTCTCAAACATAAACAAACAAAAAATAAACAAACAAAAAAAGAAAGACAGAACATCAACTTTGAAAGGGCAAATGGTTATGTATGTTTAAAAACCAACTAAGCCAGGCCATGTCGGCAAATGTCTTTAATCCCAGCCAGAGGGATTGGGAGCCAGAGGCAAGAGGATATCTATGAGTTCAAGGCCAGCCTGGTCTACAGAACAAGTTCCATGACAACCCAGATAGTTACACAGAGAAACCCTGTCTCAGAAAATTAGGTAACTAACTAATTAGGTAAATAAATAAATAAATAAATAAATAACAAAAGAACCAAGTAAGGGAGGAAGTGGCAAGCTGTTGAAGATATCACATACATCATTTATGTTTTGGCAAGCCAAATGTGTTCAGAAGATGCCTGAGGGATGTTTATGAGAGTGATAATAGAAATATTCTTTTGACAGAGGTCAAGTCAAACTTGATAATAGGAAATATAATTACTCAAAGTACAAACAAGTAATATTACATAGAATTTAGAATTATATACAAAAATGAATAGATCTTTTACAGAAATGACAACCAAATCATCTGAAACGAAAAATGTACAAAATATTTTACATATATTTTATGAGCAATGCAAATTTGATTATTGAATCTCAGTATTTTAGTAACTGATGGAATTTTATTTTTGGCCATCTTATACTTATTTTATATTGAGTTCTGATTCCTGTAAGACCTCATAACTTGCCTCTATCTCCCACCCCTCTTCCCACAAGACTTTTTTACACATCCATGTTCTTTTGTTTTGAGACCCACTGAGTTTAACTATAGTTGTCTTTGTGAACATGGGTTTTATTTGAACACTGCCGAAACTAATTTTCCAGGAGATAAATTAAGACAAAGTTTAGGTTGTTAAATTTTAAATCTAGGAAAAAAATTGAGAACATAGAAAATATGAAAACTGCCACAAGTTGTAAAAGAAAGATAAATTACAATATATTTATGTTCCCCTTCCTCCCTCTAAACTCTCTCATACATCCCTCTTCCTCTCCTTCCAATTTATGGCATTTCATTTTCATTAATTGTTATTGTAAATATGTATTTGCTATACATATATATTACTAAATATAGCCTGTTGATTCCAGATAATATTATTTGTGTTATGAATAATTTTGATACACAAAATCATTTTTGACCACTGATGAAAATGATCAAAGTTTGAAAAATCTACATAACTATTTGTCAACCATAAACAAAAAAGCATTATATTCAAAGGGATAGTTAAGTGGATTACTCCATAGCAAACTTCAAACCAGAATGCAATGATTTTAAGATATTTAATGATATTAATATCATAAGCATAAAATCTCTAGAAGATAATAAAGGAATACTTTCCATACTATCCATTTTAATTCCATAAGCTGTATACACACATACATTAGATCCGTGTGTATGTATATATGTAATATATATATATATATATATATATATATATATATATATATCCCAGTGCTCAGCATGAAAATTTCCCTTGCAGCTGTTGGGGGGGGGTACCCAGTACAAACATGCTATTGTTGTTGCCCTTGGTTGCCTCCTAGAATATGAAGACTCTGCTGCTGAAGATGCCACATTCTTAGACACAGGACTTGGAAGAACTGAGTTGAAATTGACCTAGCCGCATCTCCCCTGAGGACTAGCTCTACAATCAGAAGTTGCTGTGCAAGTTGTCCATGAAGAAAATCAATCAATGGCCCTACCCATCTGTAAAACCTATGAACCACAACATTGAGCAGCCTGGCAAGATGTATCTAAGAGTCATAGACCCTGGAGGAGGACCTAGTACTGCCTATCTACTATTGCTTAGATTGTTAGTTGGGCTCTTCCTTTTAGATCCCTGGATATTTCCCTAGTGCTAGATTTCTCATTAAACCTATAACAGCTCACTCTATTATGGTATCTCTTTTCTTGCTCTTTGAGATATTTTTTTTGGTTTTTCGAGACAGGGTTTCTTTTATGTAGCTTTGGAGCCTATCCTGGCACTCTCACTGTAGACCAGGCTGGCCCCAAATACACAAAGATCCATGTGCCTCTGCCTCCTGAGTGCTGGGATTAAAGATGAAAGCTTTGTCACCTTTGCAATTTGTGAATAAGATCCTATAAATTGATAATCTGAATTATTTTAAAATATAATGATCAAACTTTATAGTGGCTTGATAGCACTCTTTCTGAAATCTAATAATCTGAGGAATTTCTGAAGAAATTTTGATTAATATATTATCATAGAAGTATGAATTTGTACTTCCATATTTTAGAGTTCAAAGAAATAATAGAGGAATCAATTGTAGACTTATTCATGCAATTTAATGATTCAGCAATGCAATGAGTTAAAGAAAAAATGGGTTAGTTTTTCCATGTAGTTCTATATGAGTGAGTGTTAGATTGTATTTACTGATTTTTATTATTAAAAAAATTCTACTTGGGTAATATTACCGTTATATATGCTCTTAGAAAATTAACCTGATATTACTTGAAAAGTGAGAAAGTATCTTTGTAATTTATGGTCCAGATATTGCAGATGTATATAATACATTAAAATAATATTTGAATAAGATCTTTTAGGAGACAAAACTAACACACTATTTCAACACTTGTTATTTTTAAATATTAGGAATAATAATTACATCTAGAAGTAAAATAGAATAAAGTATTTAAGCAATAAACATACATAAGCTCATATGGATTTAGTTTTCACAGAAGTTTAACATAATAGAATATTAATGTATTTTTCAAAATAATTATGCTTGGAACTAGTTACTAGACTATGACTGCATATTTGAAGATGCATAAGCAATTTTCAGTTCAGTTGCTGAATGCTGCGGGGTGGAATGCTTTGGTCTCCAAAGACCAAATATACCATGAAGAAAGTAGTTCCCTGAATCACTTAAAACCCAAATATTGATGGTGATTTTATTTTATTAAATTTTAGGATTTTACTACTTTGGATAAAATTTAACTGAGGCTA